AAAAAGTTTTAACTGAGTGCTTAAAATAGGATTAAATGGACTAATTATAATCTGCTTCTAACTTGGGACTTTTAAAAAATGCCAAGTCAATTTAAAAGCCCAAAAAGTAAACTGAATTCTCTATTGCTAAAATCAAAAGATTCCTTTTCTCAACCAAACTTGAGAAATCTCTCAAAAAACAATTAAAAATAGATCCATTCAAACAAAACTATGTGCCAAGATAATACTTTACATCCAAATTTTATCTTGTGATGAAAAGAAAAATGAGTTCATTCTGAAAGACAATAGAATCCTAAAACTAAATTATTCCATGTCACCTTTCTAAAGATGTACTAAAAATCTATGAATGAACACTTAATCACATTGCATTAATTTGCTTACTAGAACCCAACTCCTAAAATCATTACAGAAGAAGAACGGTGAATCAGGAGTAACCTAACATAGTATCAGTGTTCAGACTGGCAACCTGGACCTAATGATTTACATTAGCATAAGACAATCGGCTCTACCCATGGAAAGTGTGGTCACGGGTCCAGATGAAGATAGAAGAAACAGAATCCTTCCCACCACAGGCAAAATCATGAACTCTAAAAAGTAAAAGTCAAATTTACTGAAAAATATAAACTGGGATTGAATGCTAAGAAAAGGGAGTAAATTTTCATAAGAAATGTGCAAATTTGCAAACATGTTTTGACGCCTAAGAGCTCATATTTTAGCAAATATTACTAAATTCGAATCCCCTAGTACAACCAACCAGGATGCTATTAAGATGATTTCCTGAACAGGCACGAATCCTGTGTCAGCAACCGAGCCTTGTGAATGGAGCACGGCTCTAGAACACAGGGTCACAAAGCGACGCGCAGGGTCCTCCCTGACTTCTCACCCCTGCTCGGTCCTCCCACGTGATGTCTCCCGGGCTGCAGCTAGTAAAGCCGTGAGGACGCGGGCAGCTTTGTCACCAACAGCTACCATTGTCCTAGCCGGAGCAGGCGCGACTTCCTCCCTCCCTGGCGGCGGGCACAGGACCGCGCCCGCGACCTGCACGCCGGACGGGTGGGGGCGGGGCGGGCGTCTCCGAGCTCCCGGGCGGTCGTGGCGAGGGGGGGACACGGGGACACGTCCCTTCGGAGCTGAGTCCTGGCCTGTGGAGTCAGCAACCCGCACGACCCTAACTACTTCTCCGACACTGCCTTCACCCCCGCAACCGGCGACCTCCAACTTCCAGACCTGCTGGGGCAAACACCAGCGGTCACATGTTCCCAGGGAGTGACAAAGATCTATCTGACCAACAGTTAGGAGACACCATTAGAAAAGCAAACAGGCTGCAGCTAGAACAGAAATTTCCAATCGCGCCTCCCCAGCCCGGGACATGGTCGCAGACCCGGTCCCGGCCCGGCTGCCCCCGCTCTTCGCCCAGGGCTGGCGCCCGCGCCGCGGGGAAGAACTGGGGGGACCAGGTGGGGCGGCCAGGTGGGAAGACGGGGTTGGGGCGGCAAGGGGGGGAACCAGGGAAGGACGGCCAGGTGAAGGGGGTTGGGGGTGCGGGGCGGCCAGGTGGGGAGACAGAGG